GTTTGTTGAGCAGTGTGTGGTCTTGCGTTGTCGTGAAGTAGCAGTGGCCTAGAGCGTTTGACCAATCTCGGTTGTTTAGCAGCTAGTTCTTCCTTCATGGTTTGTGGTTGCTGACAATAGATATCTGTCTTGATTGTTTGGCCAGATTTTAGAAAGCTTAAGTGAATGGCACCGGCGCTAGTCCACCAAACACTCACAAGTAACTTTTTCTGAGTCAATTTTCGTTTAGGGCAAGTGATTTGGCTGGGTCTCCAGGGTTCAGCCAATACGACGAGCGGTTCTGATTATCGTACAGTATCCACTTTTCAGCACAAGTAATGATTCGATTTAAAATCCCTTTATTTTTGTGTCCGTTGAGCAAAGTAACACAGCAGTCGACGCGTGTTTGCAAGTTCGATTCACTCAATTCATGAGGTACCCATCGTTCAAGTTTTTTACTTTCCCGATTTGCTTCAAGTGGATTAATACAGTTTTATCACTTACCCCGAAGCCCGCAGCCATCTCTGAAATGCTTTGTGATAGATCCGCTTCGACAATAGCTTTTAATTCTTCATTTTCCACTTTGGTCTCCGGCCGTCCACGAGGTTGGCTCTGAAGGTCGAAATTTCCAGAACGAAAACGTTGAAACCAAAAACGTAGCGTGTGCTTTCTTTTGCGACACCAGCGCCGTACACATCATTAATCCTTTGAGCTGTTTCTTCAGCATTGGTGTCACGGTAGAACTCGTACTCGTAAATATACCGATTTTTCATGTTTGCCATTGTGCGGTAATAAGCGACGCCAAAGAAAAAATAATGAGGAAAACAAACGAATGACTGTTTTCAAAACTCAAATGTACCAGCTAAATGAATTTATAAATTTGAATTTGGAATTCTTAACCAAAGAAGAGATATTTCAAATCAAAGTGGTCAGTACGACAAAACGCTAATTTCATATGTAAGGATCTAATATTTTGGCAGCTCTTCATAATGACAGCATCAAGGGACCCGTATTCATTGATGGGGTTTTGAACGGACAAAGGTTTGTTAATCTACTAAGTGATACGGTGTCGGAATACACAAACAACCTAGACTTCCATCGATACCAACGACTGTGGTACCAATTAGGTGGCGCGCCAGCACACTCTGTAGGTCAGGTCAGTCAGGAAGTGGCTAACGTTTACGTTTACGCTACGTTTGGTACACAATGGATTCGGTTTAAAGATCTTTATTTACTCATTAAGACTAAAGTCACTTACATAAGTAGATTCATGCAATTTAAAATAAATCACGCAGAACAATATAATAAATTAGTAAACATAAATTAGGATAGATCAAAATTATATAGAAGTTGCAAGTTAACTGCGTAAGAGCGATGTTTCAAGTATTGATAATATAAGACGGTGGTCCAAATTATATAATGTCTTCTTTTTAATGTGGTCTAATAATTTTTTCTTGAAAATATTGAGCGAACTTGCATATTTTATAGTTGAAGGGAATTTATTATACAACTGTGCTCCTGCAAATGTTACGGCATTTTTTCCATAATTATTGTGAATATTTGGTTATACAAGATGGTTTTTACGTGGTAGAGCCATGCTGCAGTTATATTAGTAGTATAGTTGTAGCACGAATGGGTCGGCTCGACCGGGGAAGGACCACGCTCTCACAGAATACCAGCGTGAAATAGTAGCTTAATGCTGCTGTATTTCGTATGGTGAGTGTAGAGAACCGGAGACCCTTGTTACTGGAAATGAGGCATTCCATCTCAGTCCTCGCGGGTGACAACGCATCTGCATTTTGATTTGTAATGGAAGATAGATGTAGATGTCTATGGGCCGCAGCAACCATTTACCATCAGGTGGACTGTGTGCTCGTTTGTCACCCTATTCTATAAAAAAAAAAAAAAAAAAAAAAAAAAAAAAAAAAAAAAACAAGATGGTTTGCGCGGCGTGATGAGTATTTTAGTATTTCTCCTTTTGTGGTGAATGTTATATTTGAATGGATCATATTATATATTAATATACATGTGTTATAGATGTATAATTGTGATTTTATATATTAATATACATGTGTTATAGATGTATAATTGTTTGGTGTTTAGCAATTTCGTTTCATGATATATTCTTTTGGTCGAAGTTAAAAAGTCGTAAACATTTTATTAATTTATTTTGCAGTACTTGTACCTTTTGTAGTAAAGTTTTGGCTGCTGTACCCCATATCTCTATTAAGTAAAGTAAGTGTGGTTTAACCAAGCTTATTTTTTATAATTGATAAATGACCGTTCCATGACAGATGTTTATCAAGCAATAGCCCAAGGTATTTTTCTTGATTAGATTGGCGTAATGTTTCTCCGTCAATGTGTAATTTTGTGTGGTGTTGAATTTTTTGTTTTTTGCACCAAATATTACGTAAGATGTTTTGGCGGTATCGATTGTTAATAGGTTGTACTGGAACCATCTTTGTAATGGGTTGAGATCTTGTTGAGCAAGCATAGTAATGTCATCTATATTCTGTCCAAAGTAGATTAACTTGTGCCGTCTGCATACAGAGTGAGATGGCCGTGTAAGTCTACTTCACAAATATTGTTAACATACACTAAAAACAATAGCGGGCCAAGAATCGAACCTTGTGGTACTCCACAATTTATAGGTAAGGAGTTACTTTGATAATTTCCAATCCTTACAATCTGGTATCCATTTTCAGTGTAAGATTTTAGCATCAGGAGTGCCGTGTCGGTTACACCAATACTTTCTAACTATTTTAGTAGCAACGAGTGACTCACTGTGTGAAAGGCCTTTTTTAAGTCAATGAACACACCTAGTGCTAGCTTCTTTTGGTCTATTTTAGTTTTTTTAGTAGTTAAGTCAATAGCTGCACTTAGAGTATTTGACTTTGAACGGAAACCGTTTTGTTGATCACACAAACAATTTATTTCAGTCAAGTGGTCATTCAGTCGTTTATAGATTACTTTCTCCAAGATTTTTGAAAGCACTGGCAAAACCGACACAGTCCGATAGTTTCCTGGATCTGTCTTTATACCAGATTTATAGATCGGACTGACCTTAGCTATTTTTAGACTGTCTGGGAATATACCTCAGTAATTTATTAAGACAGCCAGTGAGATTGGGAATAATAAGATTTTCAAAACACTTAATTGCTTTTGTACTAATGGATTTAATGCCTGTACTAATATTAGTTTCCAGACCATCGATAATATTAGCTATCTCATTTTTATCACATTGTTTGAAAACTGAGAGTTTGATTTGGCTTGTAACCGATTTTAGTTTGGGCAATGTGTATGTATCGTTGTTATAATAATTAGGCATTTTGTTTGCCAGTTGCGTACCAATATTTCAGAAAAAACTTATTGAACAACTCACAGATAGCTACAGAATCTTTATTAACTAAGCCGTTATCCGTTTTAAGATTTGGGGTAACACAGCTTACAATAGGTTTATTTTTATAAAAAGAAGATTCAATGGTAGCCATATGAAATTTTTGGTTTTTAAGATTTGTAGCAACATGGTCAATAATAGTTCTCGACGTTGGTAGATTTGGACATCGTAGGTGGCTAGCAAGATCACAAAACCTCACGCCACTCGTTTCTTTTTCTTTGGGGGTTCGTCAAAGACGATGTGTACGCGGAAAATTGGATGCAGTGGATCAATCATGCCATCGAATAATAAATCCGTTTGAGCGATTGAGGGAAATGTCTATAAGTGACAATTTATTTTCAAATGTGCGGGAAAACATGAAACGACGTTTAGCTATATGTATCCGCCAACACAGTGGTCTCATTGAAAATAAGAAAATTTAAAATAAAGACAAATTAAAGCAGTGATTAGTGAACAGTTAACAAATAGTAACAAGAGAAGGTGATATGATAATTATTTAACTAAGCACCTAAGCTGTAGGTACCACTTGCACCGCGCGCCGCTCAGTTTCTTTGATAAACCAGACGCTTCGCGCAGTCGTCAGCGCGCTAAACGACGCATTGACGCTCCGAGTTAACGTAAACCAGCTAGGTAAGTAATTTTATGAATGAATTTTTGCGAGGGTGATCCCGATTTTAGTTACTTTTTTAATATTTAGTTTGTTTGAATTTTTTTCCAATTTATGACTAATTTTAACCTATCAAAATTAATATGATTAATGGGCACTAGCCCTAAGCGTATGTTAAATTAATGTCACCGTTGTAGTGTCACGTTGTATAATAATTATTTTATTATATTCAAAATTTTTATTTTCAAAATCACTCTCAACGTGTTTTACGGCGACTTTTTCTACGTTGTATTTACTAAATTATTTTAGACAACGTGAGTAGATGAGGTTTTAAATACAGCAATTTCATCAACTACTTTAGTCACCACAAAAATATTAAATTCCTAAATTCAGCACTTTTCACTACAACAACTGCTAGGTTCATTTCATACCCTCTAGCTACTCCAGCACTGTTATGGAGAGATTTTTAACCGATATTTACTGCTTACAGGTGGACACTTTTTCAACTACCTATTAATTATTATTCTCCTATGTGAGTTGGTTCTCCTTACCTCTACACTTCATGGATTCGTGTTTCCTGTTTGGTGTAGCGAGTTTTGGCGGGAACTTGGCCGACGACGGATTGTCGCTCCTGTTTTGTCGCTTGAATAACGGTTTGAAGTGGATTGATTCGTAAAAGTGATGTGATTTTGTGAACTAGGTGTCCGCGCGTGTGATCTATTAGAGAAAACGACGAAACGAGTGCTTTGATGTCGATATAAACCTCAAGGTATTTTGATTGTTTGGGCGCTTTATGAACTTGAGTGGCTATCGTCATCAACTGTCCGCTGGGTTGAGCTGTCGTCAAAATCTCCCAAGGACTTTGCAATGTGACGCATCAGCATATTATGAAGAAAAAGAATACAAGGACATGATAGGCTCAGAAGAGCTAGAACCCAGAGTCGTAGAGCCAGTTAATAAAAAAATGATATTGATCATCTATGGTTGGTGGCGTTTATTACCGTTTACCAAGTATAGTCAGTAATTTATGGTTTACCAATTTCATTTCGCAATTTCGCATTTCACTTTCTGAGGTCACATAATTGGTAAGTTTTACAGTGTATTATTATATTATATTACTTCTTACTATTCACTACTTACAATTTCTGTAGCAATTTATTTATTTGTTCTATTCATGGTACCTTAACCTACACCTGGGATGTTTTTATTAAATATTTAGTTGACGCGACGCCATTTTGTATATTGTTGCTATGGATGAAGAATCCTATTGGGATTTGGATAGCGTTTTTGTTCTTCATTTGTTTTTGTTCTTTGTCTTTTATTAATTTGAAATCAATAGTTCACTGAGTACATTTGTATAATAAATGTCAATAGTTATATTCTCCTGCTTATCTTGAATCTTAATTTTTGTTATTACAGGAGAAATATGCAGATTTTTGTGAAAACTTTAACTGGGAAGACTATTACGTTAGAAGTCGAACCCTCCGATACCATTGAAAATGTTAAAGCGAAAATACAGGATAAAGAAGGCATTCCTCCAGATCAGCAGAGACTGATTTTTGCAGGAAAGCAGTTGGAAGATGGTCGTACCCTTTCAGATTATAATATTCAAAAAGAATCTACACTTCATCTTGTATTACGTCTGCGTGGTGGGATGCAAATTTTCGTGAAGACACTTACTGGTAAAACAATTACACTAGAAGTTGAGCCTGCTGATACCATTGAAAATGTAAAAGCTAAAATACAGGATAAGGAGGGTATTCCCCCAGACCAGCAGAGACTCATATTTGCTGGTAAACAACTTGAAGATGGTCGAACTTTGTCAGACTATAATATCCAGAAAGAATCTACTTTGCACCTTGTCTTGCGTCTCAGGGGTGGGATGCAAATATTTGTTAAGACACTAACTGGAAAAACAATTACCTTGGAAGTGGAACCATCAGATACCATAGAGAATGTTAAAGCTAAGATTCAAGATAAGGAAGGCATCCCGCCAGACCAACAGCGTCTCATCTTTGCTGGTAAGCAATTAGAGGATGGACGCACTCTTTCAGATTACAATATTCAAAAAGAGTCCACACTGCATCTTGTACTGCGTCTCAGGGGTGGGATGCAAATATTTGTTAAGACACTAACTGGAAAAACAATCACCTTGGAAGTGGAACCATCAGATACCATAGAGAATGTTAAAGCCAAGATTCAAGACAAGGAGGGCATCCCGCCTGATCAGCAACGTCTCATCTTTGCTGGTAAGCAGTTAGAGGATGGTCGTACCTTATCTGACTACAACATCCAAAAAGAGTCCACTCTTCATCTTGTACTACGTCTCAGGGGTGGGATGCAAATATTTGTTAAGACACTAACTGGAAAAACAATCACCTTGGAAGTGGAACCATCAGATACCATAGAGAATGTTAAAGCTAAGATTCAAGATAAGGAAGGCATCCCGCCAGACCAACAGCGTCTCATCTTTGCTGGTAAGCAATTGGAGGATGGTCGTACTCTTTCAGATTATAATATACAAAAGGAATCAACTTTGCATTTGGTTCTTCGTCTTCGTGGTGGCAATTAAATGCTTTTATTACTGTGACACAATATATTTTTAGTACCTATATTGAATTATAATTTATAAATTTACTAATCCATTTCTTAATCCACTTTATTCAATAAACATGTTTTCTTTCAATATAATAGATTTTTATTTCTAACTCAATGAATACTACTTGATAAATTTATATTCGAAAATTATTTTATTCCTGGAATTGTTTATTTCATTGAATAAAACTATTATTTTCGGATTTTATTGCGTTTAATTACTTTAATTTATTTATATCATCCCAACGTTTCGAGTGCTTTACAGCACCCATGGTCACAGGGGGGGACTGAGATGTTTGACATCCCAATGTCATAGTAAGTCCGGCTACCTTCAGTTTTTAAATATTAATTTTTGGTCCGATTTATGCATAACGAGCTTGTAGTATCATGAGTTCTTGCAGTGGTATGCTTGGGTTTGGGTTTAATTTTGTTAATTATAGGATCCCAAGCAGCTAGCAGCACCCATCCATCTTCTGTGTTGAAATTTGGATGTTTTTTAATTTCAATAGCCTCGTGTATCATCCTTGGTAGGAATCGGTGTTCTTTTGCTGCGTCCAATAAAAACCTATGTCATAGGTGAAACAAAAAGATCTATAAAAACCCGCGTAAAGGAACATATAGCTGACGTGAAGCGCCGACGCTCCGGGAAGTCTGCGAACATATTCAAGATCGTCCCCACCATTACATTCGATTTGATAAACCACAAATCCTCGCAAAAGAACACCGATTCCTACCAAGGATGATACCCAAGTCTATTGAAATTAAAAAACATCCAAATTTCAATAGAGAAGATGGATGGGTGCTGCCAGTTGCTTGGAATCCTATAATTAACAAAATTAAACCCAAACATACCACTGTAAGACTTCATGATACTACTATAAGCTCGTTTTGCGTAAATCGGACCAATAATTAATATTTAAAAACTGAAGGTAGCCGGACTATTACATTGGGACGTCAATCATCTCAGTCCCCCCTGTGACCATGGGTGCTGTAAAGCACCCGAAACGTCGGGATAATAAAGTACCTAATTAAACGTGACAAAATCTGTAAATAATAGTTTTATTCAATGTGTAGTGTTCGCATAAATTTAAGAAATCATTATTGTTTATTCCATATTACTTTTTTCATTAATTTACTTATGATTTTTTAAAATAAATTTTAATATATTATGGTTCTTTACATTATGTTGAAACTAGCTTGTGTCGGGATGTGTTTCAAACAATGCATCCTTTTTCTTGTCAGAAACCAGAAACTGCTTCATAATAAGTAGCCAATTCCAATGCAATTGGATGAGAATAGTATAGGAATGCATACAGGACAATTTTTAGAAGCTTCTTTCTAACATCAACTAGAAAATAAACTGTTGTTGCTCATTTTGGGGATATTCTAGAAGTAATAATGGGGAAGGCCAAATATGTTCAGCAATAGACTTTTGATGATAAGCTGTAATTTAATATAACATGTAATTGGTTAGGGAAAATGTTTCATTGTATTTCGTTTGTATAAAATTAAAAAATCTCCGGTTGTACAGTTTGTATCTGGTTGGTTTTAATATCAATATATATAGGACATTAAGAAAAAGAAAAAAAAATGAAAAAATCCCTCCGCGTTTCCATTATTTTTCTGTCTACCAAAATGCTCGGTAGAGACTAATTGTGTTCTGTGAGTGATTCTAATGGCTCGGTCACACTACTCCTAGCGCTGCTCATCTTTCTGCTCCTCGCGCTGCCGCGATGTTGCCCTTTCTGTCCATAGTCCACACACTGTTCTACTCGCGCAATCCGCACTAAGTCGCTCGCGTTTGCAACACTATGCGTGTTTAAATTGTTGCAGCGTGCGAGCTATACATATTTATTATTGCTAATTATATCAATGTCAATAAAAAGATATATACGTTGTCGTCGAAATAGCTTTTTCTCTGTATATTATTTACTCATGTGATAATATGGCTAAATGATGATGATAGTAGACATGCGCAAAATGTGTCAGTGAAAAGAAATGAATGAAGTATATCTTTTCGCTCTATGAAGTAGTCCACTCATTTGGTTCAGCACTTCATTTAGTTCAGCAAACCAAAAAAGTCCGTAACCCTAGGATATCGAGCTCGCAAGTGTGATTGATGAGTGAGTTACGACGAATGATGCACTTCACTTAAGTAGATATGTCATTTATACGTTAACACAAAAATATAGGTACTAGAACAGTGAGAGTACGAATTCGTCTTTTTGGGTCCTTTTTCCGTAAAATAGTTCCACCACACAGCACTTTCCTTTCTATTTATGTTGTCACTTTTAGTTTAATTAATCATTATATTTATAAAACTGATAGAGGATAAATACGATAACACAATTTTAGCTATAGCTACCTACAATAAACGTAACGCACCGCACAAGTCAACAAGTGCAGTATTAGACTATTAGTGCATTCCGTTTCCGTTTGTCCTCGACCTCAAGTCGAACTCAACTTGTGAACTATGCGAGTAAGAAATTCAAATTCTAAATTATTGCGCTTTATCTCCGCCGCAAAAAGATCAGTTTTGATTGCAATAGCAATGCTACATAAAGAGAGATGTCGATATTGCCGATCCTTCGACGTACATTTTTGTACGCTAAATTAAACTTTATTAGTATAAACAGAAAGCTCATATTAGTATGTTTAGACTAACTACACTGTTGCATAATATTATTTGACCTTTCGTGCACGTGTGTCGTGTAGTCCTAGGCAAAAACGCCCCGCTGCGCCGCGCCTACACGTCGGCCGGCCAACTCCAGCCGAAGCCGACCGGCCGGCGCCGAAGTGACACGAACGAATCACGAGCATGTGCGAGTGAGTGGTGGAGCGAAAAGAAAGGCTGAACTAAATGAAGTAGAGACACATTTTTAATGATACTGAATGAATGATAAGTTTATTTTGCGAAATGAAGTAGTTCATTTCCTTAAATCGTTCGCGAACTACCCATGTCTAGATGATAGGTATACTATTTATGATTTTTAAAAGACACGTGACGTGCTTTCGTAACTAAAGCTCGAATTTCGGACCACAAATTCTAAAGTTGTATGTACATGAATTCGGACGGCGTTTGCGCTAGTGTGTGGCCATGGCCTTTGAGTCGCGCCCAAAATATCGAAAAAAAAAAGGGAACGATGGGCATGACTTGCGGCATGACAAGAATTATGGCCACACTACGTCTCTGCCACATTTCCACGCCACTCGAGTGTGTGGCCGGGGTGTGCGGGGTTATGAAGAAATTCGATATATTCTAGTTTTTTTTACAAAAAGGGGAAAATGCCCTTAAAGCCGCGAAAAAAAATTGAGACTAATGGACCTAATGCAGTTGTCAATAAGAGTAGCATAAAGTTGATTCAAGCGTTTTCAGTCCGGGTATTTTGATGTCACAAATGCAGCTCGCTCTGGTTGCAGTCATACGGATAAAGTCGATGCCATTTTTGAAAAAGTGGAGTAAGATCGGCATACAACATAGCCGACGAGAGACCACAAATAAAACTATATAAAGTGGATCACCTACGACAAGAACGTGCGAAAAAGATCATGGTCAAAGGGAAGTCGAGCTCCACAGACTGTAGCGAAACCTGAATTAACACACAATAAGGTGATGTTGTGTGTCCAATCCCACCATGGGATGGTGGCATTGGATGGGTACCATTTATTATGAGCCTTGACCGCCGGTCAAAACCATCGATTCGGATCAAACTCTGAGAAAAAACGCCCGGAATTGATCAACAGAAAAGGAGTGGGTTTTCATTATGATAACGCCAGACCACACACATCTTTGGCCACTCAGCAAAAAAAGAGAGCTTGGTTGCGAAGCGTTAATGCATCCACCATATAGTCTTGACCTTTCACTCTCACATTTTTAGATACTTGTTTCGGTCTCTTCAGAATTCTTTGGGTAGTTTTACGTATAGGTCATCATCAAGAGAGGACTGTTAAAACTACTTCTCGCAGTTTTTTGATCAAAATCCCAAGATTTCTACAGCAACGGGATTATGCCACTACCTATAAGATGGCAACAAATTATCAAACAAAATAGCATAATTATACTCGGTGATTTTTTAACCGTTTGGAAAAAATTTAGGGTGTAACAGGTGAACGGAACAGAAGCCTATGACACTGGTATTTTACATTTTATTTTATGAAGTCGTGGGAGGAAGAAAACTCCTAGTAAATAGCATAGTAGCGAACCGCCCAGCATCCAGATGATGTGAATGGTAAAGTGAGTTTTGACGCAATGTTCGTTGGTGAAATTTGGCGGCTGGAAATAATCCAAACAATTCTTCAGAATAAACCGTGGTAAATGCGGTAGAAAATACAAAGTAATGCAACATGTCTTCGCAGCGCCATTGCATCAAAGAGAACTGGGTCGTCGACGATTCGAGCCGCTCTGCACTGGATGCGGTTAAGTGGAAGAAGCTGGCACTGGGGAGCCCCAGCTCGGAGATGAGAACAGTATTCAATGTGAGGTCGAACCTAATACGCTTTGTAAAGTTTCAAGTGGTGTGTCGGCATCACCAGTGTTGTCGTCCACATAACAATGAATGTTGTAGGGACTCCATCTGGCCGACTTGACATGTTGACGTTCGGGAAGAGGAGTGCTTTGCGCACTAAGCGCTGTGGACCGTACATCCGGCATGGAACACTCATACCGCGAGATAGTCGTGGGTGTGGTTCCCCCGTCTTCGAGTCGAGTTGGACGAAAAAAGAAAGCTTCACAGATCGGCTTTCTCGATCGGGCTAATTGTCAATGAAATTACGTTGGAAACAATATCATCATTCGGAAAATATACTCTCACACACGCGAATACGCATGCATGTATGCATACAAACGTTCTTTAAGAAGCAATAAAATCGGACTATAGAATTAAAGCAGTAAAATTAGCTGACTCAGACTATAACATTGAAAACCAAATAATTATGTTGATATTACGACCTTAGAATATCACACAACTTCTAAATAAGAATACAATAAATATCGTATTTTGTGCAATTATCAGTGCTCATAACATCCGGTTTCAGTGCACCGGCTTTTGAATGTTCAGTTTCTTCATTCTCCATGAGTCCGTCAATTGTTTTTTTTCTGTTCTGTTCTTTATTTTCAGTTTTGGGGTTTTTTTCTTTTTTTTTTATAGAATAGGGTGACAAACAAGCACACACTCCACCTGATGGTCAATGTTTGCTGTTGCCCATAGACATCTACATCTATCCTCTATTACAAATCAAAATGCAGATGCGTTGTCACCCGTGAGGACTAAGATGGAATGCCTCTTTTCCAGTAAAAAGGGTCTCCGGTTCTCTACACTCACCATACGAAACACAGTAGCATTAAGCTATTATTTCACGCTGGTATTCTGTGAGAGCGTGGTCCTTCCCCGGTCGAGCCGACCCATTCGTGCTGCAACTATGCTACTAATATAACTGCAGCATGGCTCTAACACGTAGTTTTCTACAATAACTATGTATGTCTCTTGTATAATCCGCATGGCCTTAGTCTCCATCAGGGTGAATTGGAGTTGATGCATAAGCTTTTACATGGTTGACTTACAACAAATACTAGTTTGGGATTGAGATAGTACATAAGAAAATCTCGCCGTAAAACACAATGACCAATGAGTCATCATTTGATTAGTATTATAAATATTGAAAATTACTTTAAAAATACTTTATTTGGTTAACGGAGCAAGGTTAAATAACATGACAGCAAAATTGTTAACATTTTTATTGGGAGGCGAAACGAGCAAAAGTTCAGGATAAATTTTTAATACAAATCAATAATTATTATATTACATACATCTCATAAATCGTCAAGTTCATCTATTTAATTATATTAGGTACAATACAGTAACATGAACAAGAATACATATTATACCAAATATTACATTTACATTACACAGAAACAGACTTGAGGCAACAGTTTCTGATGACACAATTTGATGCCAATTAGATAATATATGTGTTTATAATAGAACATATTTTTATATAAGTACATTGATGTTTGTATAACTTTAATTCAGAAAAGATTACTTTAATTTTTAATAATATAAATTTTTGTATATCTATAAGTAATAAATATTATAATTGATCACTAAATAAAAATTTTATTATATCAAATTAGACACGAAATCGAACTTAAATTGATTTGCCTCATTACATTCCCATTTCAATACAACACCGAGAGAACACACCGTTATGATGAGTAACGTTAAATATATTCTCTTCAATTGTCAACCAGCTAGAGAATGCTATCGAGTCTTTAAAATATTTAGAACAACAAACAACAAGTAAGCCCAATTTATGGAAGATAGTGTTCTATAAGTGTGAGCGGAAGATAAAATATTAAGACTTTTTGGTATAGATAATCGCAATGGCATTAATATAGGACACCATGTGCATTGGACAGTGTACATCAAACACTGAAACGTAATACTCCTTAACACCGAAAATTTTATTTAATTGCTCGAATACTTACATTAAATAGACACTTGAAGATAGAACGATTATTTTATGTACTTACATACGCCTAATATTAGATCTAGGTATTGTCTTTTGTATGCCTGAAGTGAATGGGGTCCACATTATTTACGAAAATGATTTCATGGTTATACTGAATGACGACATCAACGAAGAGAAAAATGGTATTCATATTTTAATTTGACTCCATTAGTGCATGCAACATTTAATATTATGTATACGTTTTACGTAAAGTTTACATGAAAAAAAAATTGATGTAGGTAATAATAGATATTAACGCAAAATTTGTTAAATGTGTAACGCGTTTTGATGTGAAAAGATTTGAGAAAATTAAAAAAAAACACATTACAAGCGTTACCTATGTATGATTATATCACAATGATTTATAAATTACATTTTCCAATAAGACATCTAACAGTAACACGCCACGAAATTCTGGCAAGATTTAATAACTTATATCTCCCTTACTTTTGAATGTATAACTATACGAGTATAATAACATCGTTATGTTGTATACGTTTCTTCTTTAAAATAAATACCCGCAGAGATATATATTCTAATCTCATACAAGCTAAATTACGTCATAATACTAAAATAAACACGGTTTTCTGTATTTTTGAGGATATAAAAATAAGATAATAAATATACGTACACTTATCGATGCGCTACATAAAGATACATTTATCTGTAAAAGTAGTAAAATAAAATTAGTTACTAGTAAAAGATATCATAAAATATCACCATTCAAAATTGACGCTGCCTACAGTCAGAGATAACAGCGTGCTTGCATTCTCAATAGGAAAAGAGACACGGTCCCTACAGATAACTTTTGAGATATCGCCCGTCCGCTGAACGCTATGTTGTTACTCCATTTTTTAAATGTAAGAAAATATGTTAAAGTATCTAAGTAGGTACTTTAGCTTGAAATTGTAAACCTCAATCTGGAAAAAATCAAACTGAAAATTAAAGCTGCTGAAAGTGAGCATTTTGTTCATTCTGGCTGCCAAGTCTGCTGTCTAGCAAACATGACCCAATCCACAAAAAGTTTTTAGAGTTATTATATATCTGCTTCTAATTTACAAATTAATACATACTGTATAATAACTGAACATTTTAAACTGGCTTAGCTTTAATGTTTTTGCATGAAAATATGACACACTCCACTAGTTTGAGGACTGGGATATTTTTGCCAAACTACATTAAAATTACAATAATTATTAATAGGATCACGTAAAAAGAAATTGGAAGACTATTAACTCTATCAACGATAAAATTAAAATGTCGGGCTTGTATTTAATTTGAACATATTTAAGCATATTTTGAGAGAAATATTAATACGATAATTTAGATTTCTTTAGTATTGAGCTTTAACGACGGAATAAAAGTAGTTAATTTTTTATTTGTCTTGAGATTTAAATTAAGTTTTTATAGACATAGGTCACTATTATTGTTTTTTGAATTAGGTTTCAGCAATACAACTTCTATATTTCTTTTTCTATGTTTTAATTACTTGAATTTAATATTTCGCTTTTATATTCATATAATAATGATTATTATACTAAAACTTGAAAAAAAAAATCATACTTAAGTAAATCGCGCATTCATTTTTCATAAAATACTAAAAATATTTTATAAAATACGTTTAAATCTACATGTTTATGTATAAACAAAAATAGTGACTTTTAACTCAGCAAAAGAAGCTGCAACGCAGCGAAGTCTCGAATGATTGTATCATAGTCTATAGTCAACATAGAGGAATGGATGTCTATGGTGTGTGTACTTTTTACATATTTGGCAGTGGTACAGTGACCTGCACGTAACTGATGGGAAAGTAGCCGGTTTTGCCATTGATGGAGCCCTCGAACCAGTTCTCGTCCACTTTGTTTATCAGCGTGATCACGTCGTTTTCCTGGAATATTATAAATAGAATGAAGTGATTTCGAAATCGAATGAATTTTTTTGGCAATATGATATGATATTACTAATATATTGCCAAGAAAAATTCGACAGTCGAAATTAGATGCTTGCCAGTTCCGCACCGCTCGGTGGATAATCGGTTAAAAATAACAAGGAATTGTTATTTTTAACAAAATTCTAAAAAGAAGGTTCTATATTCGACGCATATGTTGTTTTTGTTAATGTTCTCCGGTTTTCCGAAAACGGCTGAAATTATTTAATTTTTTTATTTAGGGGGTAATGCTTCAGGCGTGGCTCCATATACATTTAAAATAGGGGACGGAGATTTTAATGTAAATATTGACACGACGTATTATTTCTTGTTACGTTTTGAAGTCCGTTTCTACCTTATATTAAAATCTGAATTATTACAATTTCTAAACTTTTTTTGGATATTAAGTTTGGTTCAAATGCCTACATAATTTATTAATTATCTATCCCATATTATTTTATATAAGAATATGGGGCCATTGCATATAGTTGATATTCTAAATCCACTTCAAGCTTCAGCAAGGGACTACAGGGGTGATCCCTGATGGTAAAGACGAAATAATACAGCTCTGACCTCGATAATCTTTCAGCACTTAATTCCTTACTATTAATATTTATCGTATATCTATTATCGTCACTGGGTTGCTAGCGATACATTTTGCCAGCAATGCAAAGGAGACGGGCGAATTTGGTCCTAACGTTACACAAGTGAAATATTGTCCGTTCATCGTAACTTGACGCGCGATCCGATTGGTAGCCCTGTAATTTACAGTGTTGCATGTTTCAATACGAATGGCATTCCCGAAATGTAGGGACAGGCATTATGGAACGGGATATAAGAGCATGCATGCATGCATCTCAAGCACGAGCTTGCGGGTTGAAACATGGCATGTACAGTCGAACGCACTTAGCGCTAACAGTTAAGCCTTAAAAATTTCTTTATTTCGTATGAGTAAGGGTATTAATTTCATAATTCAACTGTTACTACGGAGGTGCTGATGACTACACTTATGGGACTTTTTAAGTGTCATAGTGTACTCTCTGAAACAATTCATATATCAACGGGAACATTCAGGTTAAATTAATTAAGACAGGGTTAAAAGAATCACTCTATACAATTATGATCATTAAGGTGTAAAGGGATCATATCTTCTTCAATGTTACTTGGATGCTCACTGTTACTATCATTTTCTTCAGTGTCACCGCCAACCCAGAATAAAAAGCGATCACTTCCTTCATCTATTATTTTATCTTTCACTACGTACTCACCTTCAATTTATATAACATGTGAGTACTCTTTATTCCAAAGCTGATTGCTTATTGAGCCGAACAATTCTTTCATAAGTGAGTACACTTGATCATCTCTCTGGCCACATTTTCTCTGCGAACCATCTCTCCATATTACCTCAATTGGATTTAAATGCGCATGATATGTGGGCAATTGCAAAAATACATGGGCTTTAGTTTGTGACTTGAATAGCAGTAACTCATTATTAATGAAACCCGTCTGTAGTTCCAGCGTGTGCAATTATCCATCGACTACCCGTACCTGAATCCTCTGACCAACACACCTTCTTCAGAAACTGACTGCCATATTTTTGGATCCTATATAATGAATAATGAATAAATGTTTCATCTAAGTAGACAATAGTGCGCCTCTCTTCTCGGTATTCTTTTAATTTCATTCAAGTAATTAAATCGCCATGCAGATATATCTGTTCGTTTCACAAAAATCATATCATGACAACTAATTGTTCAACGCGATTTCTTTTCTACAATATAAAAAATATATATATATATTTCTACGCATACAACTATTTTAATATCATTTAGTATTTTACAAACTGTTGTTAGTCTAAATCTTTGTAACTGGTCACCCTAAAAACATACCGTTTATGGTGGCAATTCGGGCACGAACTTGTTACAATGGATAAATCAGCTTGTTTTCAGCCTTTTCTTTTTTAAAAAATGCGTAAACTTGAAGAATATTTTGTCGTACAACACTTTCAGCATTTTTAAAACTAAGATTACATAATTAAAAAGCAAAAGAGCGCACAGATAGCAACCGATCAAATTCGAAGAAAGATGACGGCTAAGGAAACAGTGCTACCAATCACCCACGCGTCAAGTTAAGATGAACGGACAATATTTATCAATATTTTTTACAGTTCAAATCAAATAAAAACAAGTTCTGGAATGCTTCATTCAGACTACACACAATTAAAAATTGTTTTAAAATGGCCGGATATCCGACAGAATATGATGGCGGCACGCCACTACAATGCGGCGTCAATTGATGACGTTGTTTGTATTCGGCAGTATACTGAAAACGTCTCGGAACATACCTTTTAGAGCACCTAATTTTTAAACTTGGCACCTAATTAGCACCTAAAAGGCCCCTAATTTAGTTTTTTTTAAAATGCAAATTCCTGACTGTGTTGCTGGCGAGACACAACTAAAGACTACTCCTTCACAGAAAAGAAAAAATATTAATGTATTAATGGCATTGCCTTTGATTTGGCAACTTTTTCCCTTGAACAACTTGATTCTTATATCAATAAATGCAATCATAGTTTAGGGTTGCTAATATATAAAATGAATACGTTTGATGTCTGACTTCAGTCAGATATTTTATTAATTGCCTTTTTGTTACTTTTAGAAGTAAAAGTGATAAACAAGGACACACACATCTGATACTAAGTGGATGTTGTGACCTATAGACATCTGAGATCCTTGCTTTAGAATTAAAATGAAACTATCACCCCTGATAACTAACATGAAATGTCCCGTTACTAGTAAAAGGGTCTCCGGTCCAACAGTAGTTAAAGTTACAGTCTATATAGGTCCCACTGCTGGGCACAGGCTTTTAATCACTTTTAAGAGGGTTTTAGGACTAGGAAATGTCCCCCGCGCTGCCCCAATGCGTGTTGGCGGACTTCATATGTCTTCGAAATCAATCAGCACTCTACTTGCGGGCGTGGGTTCGCATCTTTGACGCTGCTGAGAAATCTATAACAGACATGAAACAAGTAAACTCTCTACGAAACAACACAAATGCGCGTTGTCCATCCCTCTAGAATCTATCTCTTAATAATTATAAGACCTCAAGTATTCAAAACGGTTATGGCAGCATCTCAGGTCAGAAGCATTTGTGCTGTGGTCTCCAATCCTCTTACCCAAAGTGGTGATTACAACGAATCGTAACAAAATGGAGGAGGCCAGCAATATCGTGTTACTAACTGTGGATATTAACAAACAACAAGTGGTAAAATTTAAAAATTTTGTACAACCGACTTCAATACGACCAAATCAATGTATTCGAAGTCAATTAACTACCTAAAATTTAAGGATAGCTCAAAAACTTGATGACTACTGGTCAGATCTTGATCAAATTTTATGGGCCCGCACGAGAAGCACCAGCTTTCAATATCAAAAAAAAAGAATCATCAAAATCGGTTCACCCAGAAAAAAGTTTTGAGGTTGAGAACACAAAAAAAACATAGTCGAATTGAATACCTTTTGAAGTCGGTTAAAATAGTCTCATTTCAAGTAATTTATATTAATGTTACCTTGAATCCCAGTTCGCCTTGATTTTCTGGTTCGAAGTCATATAAAGCTGTGCAGCAAGGTGTCTTCGATGGCGCCATAGGTGTTCGCGCGGGTGACTTAACCGGCGACGGCAAAGGCGACGCTGCGGCAGTACACATTTTAAAATAATTTGGCAGTTTTTTATGCATGTGGTTAGCCAAGACTAGCCGCAATTTTCGTATTATCGCATTTAATATTAGGCCGGTATCAATACGGGTAGATAAAATATGAATGTTATATTATATATCAAATTATCTTTATGTACGTTATGTTATTACATTTTTTTACTAAGTCAGCGCTTGACTACACTCCCACCAGGTTGTAAATGGTGATGAAGCCTTAGATGGTAAAACCAACTGTCTTAGCGTAACAGAAATCTATTTTACTCGGTATTTAATACCGAGTAAAATATGGCCTGGAAAACGTTCAGATTTTAAATGGACGAAAAGACAGACGCTGGCAGTTTATTTCACTCCCTTACTGTGCGCATAACGAAAGACGACGGAAACCGTTTGGTTTGAATACGTAGAGTGTCGATAACAAAGGGGTGAAGACGCTCGGTCATCCAATGTTCGAAAGAGAAGGGAGGACTTAAAGTACGTAATTAGTGTACAGGCTCTCCGAAATGCATCCTATAAAATACGGAGAGGCTGGCTAATTCTGCACCAGTGCTCGAGACTGACAAGATTGGTTTCAACCAATTTAAACTACAAGTCTAAAGGGGTTGCTTTTTTTAAAGATGTAAATGTGATAAATAAGCACAACTTCACAATTTTACAGCACTAGCACATATTATGCGACAGCAGTACTTTATGCATGAAAAGTTAAGAAGCTGCCGTGGGTAAAGTACTGCGCCGCTCTTGCCCTGGTTGAGTCCAGGAAGTGAGGTTTTGGTTGAATCACCCACAGTTGAGATTCGGAGAAATCTCAATCTCTAACAAATGAAGATGGCCAATAATCTCCAAAGATACATTCTGGAAAGTAAGTCAGAAAGTAGAGCCTGGGTGAGTGTGAAGTCTTTTGGCGGTGAAGAGACACGCTTGTGCTTTGGAGGCGTCGGATCTCACAAAACTGGCATCGTCTCATTCGAAAACTGCTTGCCGTGAAAGATTCGCATGCTCAACTGGATTTGATTCCAACTGGCCCCAGGACAAATTGCTTCGGGCAAAAAAATGCAGCAGAAAGAGAGTTGCGTAGTCAATGGACCCCTGAGAATCTCCAGCGTTGATCGCCATAGGATTGGACGAACAGCTATCAACCAAGACTTGGAAAGGTCGATTGTACAGGAAGTCATTCACCGAGTCGTCAAATAGGCTAGGAGATAGACCGTACCGTTCCCTAAAAGGCTAGCGTGCCAAGCTCTGTCATTAGCCCTCGAGACAACAAGGTAAACGGAAAGTGCTTCCCCACTATTCTCGAGAGCCTTGACCCATATGTAAGTGGCATACACTAGACTTTCAGCGAAGTTGATACTGGCGGTCATCGAGGAGGTCATTCTGTTCTAGGTATGATATGAGGTGGGTGTTCAATACACGCTCCATAATCTTGTAAAGTATGGAGATAATGAAATTGGTTGATACCAGCTCGTAGTGAGCAGGGTCGGTGCGGCTGCTTTTTTAGAGAAAGGCTGTATATTGGTTAGTTTTTTCCAACATTTTGGCCATTATTCCAGTCGTAAATGAGACGGAACAAGCTCAGGTGAACAAAACCTTTGAAATTATAGCTGATATACGATCTGATCCACTCGCTTTGTTCACGTCTAGGCTCCGCAAGGTTTTAAGAACGTCTTCCTTGGTGATGCAACCTCTGACTAGAGGTACCGCAGTGAGGTAATTAAGGTTTCAAACCATATTTATTAAACTTTGACAAAATTGATTTCTTGTTTGATTCGTGTAAAATATTTTTATTTATTTAATTTTAAATGACATTGATAAAATTTGGAGATATCGTTGATCAGATTGTGCATGGCGGCTAGTCTTGGTATTGACTATGAGGAAATATGTAAAATTCATGCTCTATATAATATGTTTACACCACCACATTTGAATGTAAGTATGAATTCAAAACATAAAATATTTTAACAACTTCCATACATTATGGTCAACCGCAGTTCACTTCACAAATACGTACGTAAAATACCACACAAGCGTTACAAAATTAAGCCAAACACAATATTATATTCGTGCCTTAAGCGTTAAATATAAATAATAATAGCGTGTTTAATGTTGAATGTTGTTTAAATTATAATTAAAAATTGGATGACAAAGCGACAACATTGAAATGCGCACTATGTTAACAACCTTAAATGAACGAAAAATATATAATAATGACCAAGTTGCTATTAAACTTTTGGACATGCACAGTTGTTTTTTTCTACCTGTTAATTTGGTAGTAATAAATCATTAAGCAGATAAAGAAGTAACTTCAAGACGACGGATTTAAGTGCATATAAAAGTAAAAGAAAACTAAGGGAAAATTGTTGGCTTGTGTTAAAAAAAATATCAAAGAAAAATACACAATGTGTTTTTTTTATTATTTGCTAATAACTGCTGGTAATATTCAGTATATTATAATTATTTCATATTCTTGGATGAATATGAAATATTTTAAAATTAAATTTAATAATTAAATTCGTGATTTGTGTCGTTTAATCGTGAAATCACACGGTATCAAAATCGACGCAGAGCGCAGCAGTTTCACCAACATTATGTAATTGAGATTAGTTTTGTGACATATATTTTTTGTTATTTGTATGTGTATTTTTATGACATAAAGATTATTTGTTTGCCTTACTTTTCTTATTATTTTCATAGTAAATGTATCAAATAATTTGTACCTATTATTATCAAATAATGTGTATTTAATTCATATATTAATTGTAAGCATTATTGAAAATATAAACAATGTATGTATGTACGATCAGAAATATATAAAAAAGTAGCTATGTACTTCGCTCGTTCATTTTTATTTTTAGGAATTAGCATATTAAGTATTCGCATACGAGAAGAAAAAGTTTGGTATGACTACAGCTATATTAATGTGCATTAAAATTACAAATTATGGCAATACTATTTCGTCATTTTCATTCAACACTGTTGGACATAGGCACCGTCTCTGTTACTACCAGTCGGTCATCGAAGGCGTCTAGACGGGGCAATCGTGCGGTGCGGTGCGTGGCGAGACGCGGGTGGAGCGCTAAACTGAACTGTACACTAGGGTTGTTTTGTCACGCAAATAAATTAAAATGATTCATCCTACATGTGCGGTAAAAAACTGTGGGTCCTATAACCAATTTTTGTTATTACTGAACACTCTCTGATTACGTTATTTAATTTGTTCAAACGTGAAATAACATGAAATCAGTTGTTTATTCTTTTATTACTTCCCATTCTGACAACCCTAGCAATTTATTGTCCATGTCGGCTTTTCCAACAACATCAAACGCGATGACTGACTGTATATTCTTTTTAGGCTTTGACATAGGCCTCTATTAAAAGTTCGCCCCGAGTTAAACACTCAGTTACTGGCGCAAATTGTTAATTCTTAGTATTACCATAATTTGTGATTTCATATGTCTATTTGCAGGTATTAAGATATATTTGTGTGTCTTTGTGCGTGTTACCCTGATTGGAGCGTTGCGTGTTGGCACCGCCGGGGAAGAGCTCGAGGTTGGAGGGCGGCTTGTGGTCCGGGGAGCCAGCGTGCGAGCCGCCATCTCCGGGACGCAATTAAATAAATATCCCAGTCTGAGTATACCCGTAAAGGTTGTGATATGACGAAAAACTTTAATAACATTGTTTTTATTTTATGGGTGGTAACAATAATATACAACCAAATTTACGTATTTATTCGTATTTGATTTTTACATCAAGAAACAAATTCTTGTAATAGAACCCGTGATTCCAGTAACGTGTGATAATTGTGACTACTGTTAAATTAAAAACTTTTATTTTCAAGTAGGATTAAAAATAATGGCCTGCGTCTACAGTAAGATCCTCTATAGATCTTTATATCCGATTTCAATCGGTAGTTACATATAACTTTCGAATAACTGTCTGTTACTGTGTATTTATATAAAAACATGATTATTTGATAAACATGGATTTGCTTTAAACTGCGGACACCTTCACAAAGAGTTGAAGAGTAGTAGGAAGCAAAAGCACATAATTGCCCCCTAAAGCCTCTCCCGTACGGACTTGATGTATAGTTTTAGACGTTATGTTACGTTATTATTTTTGAAAAATGGTAACCTCACTTATTGTGCCTAATAAATGTTATGGTCTCTGTATATTACTTTGGTACACTTATTATCATATCACACATACATATCTGATACACTTTTATCTGAGATACTGAAATTTTTTGCAATTATGATTATAACATTATAATTGTAAAAAGTTTAAATTTACATTTATTTTAAGTAATATATAAACGTATGTACTTATAACCTACTATCGTTGATTACTCAAGCAAGTATAGTGCTTGATAATATCCGTATTTTTAGCTGAGTTAATACTAAAATTATAAAATATTTCATTATGGAATGCTACAAACTGAGGTTATGATAATTTATTAAAAAATAACTTAAAAACATCTCCACCGCGGGGGGCGTAAGCGTGTGTCCCGCTCAACGCTACTGCCTCCTCATTTCTCTACAAAGATGTCCAATAGAAAAATATTGACCAAATATATATATATATATATATATATATATATATATATATATATATATATTAAATATTGCTATGAGAAAATCTTTGGAATATATTTGCAACACATGCTATTTCCCTTGTGATGCAGTTGTTCATGAGCGGCGGTAGTCACATACGATCAGGTGAGTCTCAGGTGAGTCGCATGCGAGTTTGGCTCCTCTTATATAAAAGGCATATACTAGTAATTTTTAGACACATTAAAATTGCACTTAGTTTATTGATGTCGAACAACTCGAAATAGTTGGAACATTCTAATCGAATACAGAAATTAACTTGTTTCCCGTCTGCGTGTGTTTTACTTCGAACGAAATTGTTATACAATTAACTAATGAAGATAATGTTAAGAAGGAGACGGAAGAAACATTAACGGCAGGCTGTACGTTCCAAGGGAAAGAAACTACGACATAAATATTAATATATTTTCATCGACATCGGCTATTAATTCAAGCGGAACAGTAAGTATGAGTAAAGAAAAAAATGCTTAAATTCTAACCAGCAGTTAATGAGAGTATTTAACATTAAAAGATGATCCATAAGCTTTTTCTTTACGCATAAACACATAGATATTTAAAACTTAGACTAATGTATGTAAGGGAAAGGAAGGGATTCGGGAAGGACGTTGCGGCGAACCTGAAAAAATTCTATGACACTGCACAACGACTCAATCAGGTGCAATAGAAAAGCCGTGGACTTCTCTTTTTAGTTATAAAAAGCAATAAAAAAATATAATAAGACAGAAATTTTCATATAAAAGATTTGTTACTTGTACAAATTAGCGGTTAAAGAATAAATGTTATTGCTTCAACTAGCGTCGTCATGTTTGTACTGTATATTATAGGTGTACGCGTAACTAATTATGTACGAAAGCTATCGGCATGAAGTAATTTATGTGAAGAAGATTTGATTAGAATATATTTTGCGGATTTAGCGTGCATAAAACGTGTAGACAGTTTCAAAAGCTTTACTATTAATTTATTTGTTAGACACTAAACAATTGCTTGGAATATATAATCCTATGGACCTATCGTATGATATCGAAATTGATTTCAGTGTACTTCCACCACAAGCTATGCACCAACGCAATGATACCTTTGTTAAGCGCGTAATTTTTCTTCACCAAAAAGAAAACATAAGAAAATTTGGCTTTTGAACACCAAAATGCAAATTTACAGAAGAGAAATGTAGTAAAATATTTAAACAGTTTTTGTATTAAAAAAGAAATTACTCTATAAATGACAAGTATTTTTTTCTAAGAGCGCCAATTAGTGAACTGTTTTATTTGCGTTCACAGGCTCCAACCAACAAACTCTTTTTAACTTCACTGCCCCAGAATTAGGGTAATACATACATTACGTACGTACGTACGTACGTTGGTATATTGTATGTCTATTTCTTCGGCACGCTCTGTACCCTAAGCGGCTTGATAAATTTTAACATATGCGATGTCGTTACATTTGTCTTAATTGGGGACATAGACAATACTGGGTAATTTTTTCTCCGTCTGGAAAAAATAGGATGTCAGATGAACGAAATAGAAGGCTATGACACAGATATTTTACATTTTTTTTACATTCGCATATTGTGAAATTGATATATTAATAAATACAACTAATTGGGTGCGTGTTATTTTAATTTCGATAGGTTTTAATTGATTTCTTTATTAAGATCGATTTTATTTTCTATTATTTTATTACCGAAAGTTTATTTCAAATTAGTGGTATTTATTGATATGTCAATTTTATAATATTTTAATGTAAAAACAAAAAAATAGTAAAATATCAATGCCATAGGTTTCTTTATCATCACCATATTTTTTTCCAGATAATAAAAAATCATCCTGTATAATATTTACATCTGAAATGGACAAGTAGATGATACCTACCACGACGGATTCCTAAGTAGGAAAATAAAGAATATTTTTATTTATTCTTTTTTTTAACCGGTTGACTTGTTGTCACTTGCTTGAGATGGCCTCTCATATTCTAGCGGAGATCGGCCGATCTTAAATTAAATCATAATTTGTATTTTGAAATCATCAAGATATATCGCATGAGATCCATATACTTACTTTCATAAGAGTAGTTACAATCAGAATATTTAGAAAAAATGTGTTACATTGTTTTTGCCTTTTGTAAATTTACATTTCGGAACGTCCATTTTTTTTAAATGTGTAAAAAAGACCAATTTCCTTCACCATTAAAAATAAAACAATATCCACAACCAAAGAAAACAGAGAAACTGAGCAAACAAAAAATACGTCACCTGTCCACGGGTCTCTGCCATTGTATTGTCTTGGCGCCGGGTGCGGCCTGAAACCAGGAGCGGGTCTGAGATCCGCTCGAGACATGGGCTTGGGGTCCGATCGGGATAGGGACCTGGGATCTTCCCAGGCACTTAGAGGGTCCACACTAAGGTCACCAACGGACGAGGAGGGAGGGATATGGTTTCGGGGGCGGGACAGACTCTGTGTGGAACCGTACCGCCTACCATTGTGCAGATCGTGTACGCCTTCGATGTGGAGGTCAGCTAACGTCTTCGGTACGAACTCCAACTTCGGACGGTTCACTGCTTCCTCTTTCCTAGAAATTAACACAATATCTTTAATTTAACAAGTGACAGACGACCAACTTATAAAATGTACTTGGATTAGTAAATATTTCGTTACAATTCTTTATAAAATGACCTAAAACTAGCTGCGTTATAACTTTTCTTATTGTAAATTGTAAAAAAATGTATTTTTGCAAATACTACCATTATGTATTACTCATATACATTACTATTGTTTTACGTTTTCTTTTGTGGGGTAGACAGAGAGGATCGATCGCCAAGAGACCGATCGTGACATACATACCACTTTAGCTTACTTTTTAGTCAGTGCAAGGTTGCATGGCCAAGCAACAGTTTCACTCGTGGTACTTTTGGTTTACACGGGCAACCCTCAGGATAGTTATAGTGGTCAAACAGTAAACGCACTTAATTAGCTAATAGTATCAAAACGACCCTTTCTAAGTTCACGTTTGTGACGGGCAACTACGGAACCCTACATTGTGCGAGGCCCACACCTACCTGGTCGGTTTTTTATGGTTAATATGGTTACAGAGGAATTATTTCTTTAAATTTATATGGGGCTGCCCTTGAGGTATTTAATAAAAAAATATTTATTTATGTCGATTCATCCATATTCGAGAAATCATGAATATAGAACCTTCTTGTTTTTTTGAACTCGGTTAATAATATACACTATACTTGCCAGAGTTTATTACCTCGTTGATTTAGTGGTCGGGCTAAAATCATTTATTAGGTTTATTTAACAAAAAAAATCCTGTAACAGCCTGGAGTCAGAAAGTTGACGGAAAAGCACGTAAAAGTCCTACGCCTGATCTCTCTCCGGTCGTGTCGGATTATCCTCTGATCGGACTATAAGAGTGAGGTAATAGAGAGTGTTTGCTTGCGCATATACTCGGGTACTATAATCCTGCTTGCGCAGACGGCTTGTCTCCGTTGAGACTGTCCGCGGTTCGCGGTGAACAAAATTCAGCCTGAAGGACATTTTCATAATTATTATGGTTTAAAAACTTTATTATCTCATTAGGAATTAACAATAATTAACTTCTTGAGAAACTATGTTTACAAAAATACTTTTGATCGCTGAGCGACCGATGTGGTTTCCCGATCCGGCTACAATCGAATAGCAACATAAAAATAAAATATCATAGTAACAAAAGTTTTGTGCAAGGAACACGTGCGATTATTAATAATCACTCCTAAATAATAAGTGGTATTATTAAAAATCATTTTCTCTTAAAGGGTTGCTCGCGTACTGTGAAACTTACAGCGAGCGGTAAGCCCCTGAGCTACTACGGTAACCACGTGCTCGGCGGTGAAGTGAATGAAAACATCGTGAAGAAATTTGCATACCAGAGAAACAAAAAAAAACATATTTCGAAGACATGTTAAATTCGCCAATACGCATTGTGGCAGCGCGGCGAACATTTCCTTGCCCTAAGACCCTCTCAGAAATGAGAGGAGGTGCCTGCGTTCAGCAGTGAAACGTACATAGGCTGTTAAACAATCACACCCCACACACAAGCAGCAATTAGAATGTTATGTTTTGTTAGTAATAGGAAACTTACTTACTCCTTAAAACTGTTTTAAATGCTTCTTGATACATTAACACGACGTGACAATTAATAATAACTAAAGTAACACAGAGACAAACTTACTTTTCCATGAGTGTGGACACGAGTCCCTTGAGGATCTCCGTGCACTGCTGGTGATACTCAAAGAGACCCTCCGCGAAGAAAGTGAGCTGTGCCACTTGTTCCACCTGCAATTATATTCCGTGTTAATAGAACCAAATAAAAAAAAACATGTGTGCAGTTCACACGTGGTAGAAGTGAAACCTTCAGAAAAGGAGACCGATATAGTTGGAAACACTGTACATTGTCTTCTATCTCATTCTCTCGCAGTCTAAATTCCATAGATGTATATGTTTGTCTCTTGTGTTCATCGAGCTTTATATCACAACGATTCTAAATTAGTTTTTACTTTAAAAAAAGCCAAATGCGTGTGAAGGCACGCTTAAGGCCCCATACACTTACTGCTTTGCAAATTATCAACCGACTTCAAAAAAAAAAAAGGGTTCTCAATTCGATTGTATTTTTTTGTATGTATGTTACGCGATATTTTCGAAGATTATGAACTAATAATGATGAGTCTTCTATTATTAAATAGGTTATACACCAAAGGTCTCATATAAATTTGGGGCAAAAATTTCACACCTTAGGGTAGCAAATGAAAAAGCTTATTTTTTTTTAGCAATTTGAAATTGGTTTTTACTTTTGTTAAAAGTTATAATTATCTTTAATATTTTCTTTATTTAAATTGCTCATTATAATTCGTAACCTTAGCTGTTAAAAGTGGCTTACTGAATCTCAATTTTATCAAATTATTTCAAAACCTTTCTGACGGTAACACTCAATATAGTTACAAGGAAAGCTTGTAACCTCCACTTAAATAACAATGTCCTTAAATTTTATACACTTATACATGTAAAATTCCTACATTATCCTCGTACCAATTTAACAAAAGTCGGTTGTATAAAATTAAAAATTTTGTACAAACGACTTCAACATAGATAAAATGAGAACATCTTCAACATAGTCGAAGTCAATTAAATACGAATTATTAAGGATAACTCAAAAACTACTGGTCAGTTCTTGATCTAATTTATATGGGACCATATGAGAAGCACTAGATTTCAAATAAAAATCAGTACACCTACAAAAAAGTTCTGAGGTAACACAGAAAAAAACTAGTCGAAATCAGTACCTCCCCTTTTTTGAAGTGGGTTAAAATAAATCACTTTAATTGTATCCCTTTAAGAGAAGGGAACACACAGTTGATAAAGTAAGCGTGTGTTATAAAACTTGAAGGGCCATGGCAGTTTTTCGGATCCTCTAAGGGTAAGCGATTGACCTTATAAATTCATAAAATTATTTCATTTTTCATCTCAAAGTAATCTGCTGTTAATCTCAAGTGAATCTATTAATTATTTAAGTGGCAGTGGGTCGGCCATATAGCTCGACGAACCGGATAAAAGGGTCTAGACTAGAGTGACAGCCTCGTACCGCCAAATAGTGTGTAGGACAGTCACCACAAGATAGAGTGACTTGGTAAAACATGCATAAAGTCGATAGATGCAGGGGGCCCAGGACCGTGATTTGTGACATAACTTGGGGAGACCTATGTATACCTCTAAACTTGTCAAGGGCTGTAATGATGGTGATGATGCATCTGATGTCAAAGTAATTAGTTGTACTGATAATATATTTCAACGGAAAAACTCACATCGTTATCGAGGAGGTTGAACATGCCGATCTGAGCAAGCTGCAGCGACTCGGCGAACTTCTCCTCCGCCTGTCGAATCTCCTCGTCTGGAATGTGAGCACCTGATGTACGCCCGCCTCAAACACAACAGTGCCACGGAACCACAATAATTAGAAAAATTCATGAAAATATAGCAAAGATAAAATGTTGAAATATTTCAAAGTATTAAAGTCAAGGAAAACATGTAAACGTAAATTACAGAAACAAGTTAATTAAAGTAGCATATTGCAGTAACACAAATAAAGTAAAAAAAAAAACAGAAAACCAAAATAAAAATACAGACCAAACGATGAAAACATAATCACGAACAGGGCGAAGATGAAGTAGCAAGCGTCGCAGGCGCAGGGCGGGAATATGGAAGAAACGGGCATTTCATGTAGGAACAGTGGATTTTTTTATACAATAAGGGTGACAAACGAACTCACATGTTTGTAAGCTATTATTTGAAAAAAAATAGTCCCGCTGGGTTTCTTGCTGGTTTTTCCCAGGACAGAGGTTTTTTTTGCGAACCAGTGGTAAATGAAAAAAATTACTTTCAATAAGTATTGTTTATAATCTACATTGAATAAAAAATTTTCTGTTTCTGTTTCACAGTCCACCTGATGGTAAGTGGATGCTGTGGCCCATAGACATTTACATCTCTAAGATGGAATGCCTCCGGTCGTCTACACTCACCATACGAAACACAGCAGCATTGAGCAGCTATTTTACGCTGGTGTTATGTGAGAGCGTGGTCCTTCTCCAGTCGAGCCGACCTATTCGTGCTACAACGATAATATAACTGAGGCATGACTCTACCACATAAAATGTATGGTCTTATTACAAAACGTGGTATATTGATAGTCTCGCTGAAGAAGTCTTCGCGAAGTTTGATATTTGTTGCCAAATTCCAAATTTTAAATTTTATTTCGCATATTATCGAAACAGAATATACTTTAAAGTTTAGACTAATTATAAAGTACGTTTTGTATTAAGTTGGATGGAGTTTAATGCAAAATGAGGTTCTTGTTGTTTAATTTTTGGTGTATAGTAATTTTAGTAGTATCTAGCATTATTACAATTTTCATTCGGAACATACCCTGTCTGGGCGTACACCAACAGGTCTCATATATGGGCTGACCTTACCTGATCCTTGAAATGTCAAAATACAAAAAAAAAACTAATATAAATAATAATCTTACAAAAAAGTATTTATGTATTTAGATGCATCTTAGAATGTGTTCTCATGTTTACGTTTTTGTAGAAATTTTAGTCTTATATAAATTAATTAAACTTAACAAGTAATGTAATGTATATAATGTAACGCGTAGTAAGCTATTTCCTAAAGAGTATTAGTTTGAATTTCAAAATTTTGATGCACGTGGCTTTGAATGTGCTGAATACAGCTCTTTATCAATAAATCCATCATCTTAATACGATTTAACAATTTTAGAACACAAAACAATAACTTAGAGGGAGCTCTTTGAATGGGTCAAGCTATTATTTTACTAATGAATAGGCGTCTCTTTGCTCAACATAATCCCAAATATAGTTTATTCGTGAATAACCTTGTTCGTGTTTTCTTTAAGTTAAGATTATCACACAAATGATAAAATTTAACAAAGGGGTGTTTATTAAATTAAACATGAAAGAATAAAGAATGGTATAATATGTTAAAGGCGAGTAATTACCTTTGGCTTGTCTACGGCGTTTGCAATCAAAGTCCAGTCTGCGCCCCTGCAGTTTCTTTCGGTGGTGCTGTAACATCCCGCATGGAAATGAATTTTAAATAAGAAAAAATTAAGCATATAAAATACGCCGAGTACAATACAAAACGAGTCGTGGTAGCTCAGATGGTTAGCGCTCGCTGTAAATTTCACAGTACGCGAGCAAACCGGGTTCGATCCCCGCCGGCACCAATGAAATTGTTAATTGCAATTTTAAGTGCTGATTTACCACGTGCACGGCGGTGAAGGAAAACATCGTGAGGAAACCTTCTTATTTATCAGACATATAAATAAGAAAAATATTTCGAAGACATGTGAAGTTCGCCAACACGCATTGGAGCAGCGCGGCGGTCACTTCCTTGCCCTAAAACCTGAGACCAGTGCCCAGCAGTGGGACGTATATAAACTGCAACTAACTTTAACCATAAACAAAATCATAGGATATGTAATGATGTACGTTTATTAAAAATATATGTATCAATACGAAGACTGATGTCTCTACAAAAAGAAATATTGCCGAGTTAAAGTTTTTACGGATTAATATTGGAATACGTACAAGTTTTGCAAAATACAAATAATTATATCATTTATTTTAATGCAATAACTTTGTGGACTAAGATGAAATGTCTCGTTATCTGTAAAAGGTGTCTCCTGTTCTCATCACCCGCAATATGAAATACCGCAGCATTTTACCATGGTAATTCGTTGGATGACAAATTCCTTCTACAGCCATGGCACGCTGCAGCGAAGCTTAACTACAATTTTGTAACCATATTTGTGTTTTTTATAATTTTATAAATATAACGTTGTAAATTTTAACAAATATAATAAAATTTAATGTCATTTTGCGCACATACCATAACTTCTTTAAGATCTTTGGTCTGTAAATGGTGCAGGGGTTCCAGAAAGCTTTGCTTGATGTTATCGTCGAGAGAATATTTTACATCTGCCATTTGCTTTAACGCCTCACCCATCTCAATCAGGCATTGTGCTGCAATAAAATCAACAAAAATAATAGCAAACTCTAAGCATTTTACAATTACCTTAACGTCTTACTAATAAAAAAGTCCTTACAGAAGATGCTGTCTTCTCCAAGTTTCTTTCCATAGTGAAGCATGCAGTCGGCCAGCACGCCTTCGGGTTGTGGATAGGTATTGCTCTTAGCTTGTCCGCTAAGTTTACTAATTCCTTTAACAGCTGCCATCTTCGCTCTAGCCGTGGGATTTGGTTGGAGAAATTCTTTCGTTTTCGCCTGTAGTTCCTCTACAAGCTCGCACGTTACGTCCGTTTTCTGGTAAAATACAAGGAAATTTAATACTGAACTTTAGAGTACATTATATTATATTTTACTTATGGAGCCTAATTAATCCAGTGGTGGTAAGCGCGACTGCTGTTCACGTGGTCCTGTGTTTGCATCCTGGGTCAGGCCAAAATCAGTTGTTGAGTTTTCTGTCAAGAAAGTTTCAATAGCAGCCCGAAATTAAGAAGTTGGCGGTGATTCACCCCCGTGCCTCGGAAAGCACGTAAAGCCGTTGGTTCTGCGAGTGATTTGTCTTCTCCGGTCGTGTCAGAGGCCACAAAAGAGGTGTTTGAGGCCGAGGTGGACCAGAAAAAGTGTTTCAAAGGCATGAAACTTTGTATGGGTGCTAGCGGAGTTATTTGAAAACATTTTATGATAATAATTTTAACCATAGTACCTTTTTTGGTTTCGCAAAACTTTCCTACGACTCACGTATTGTATTAATAGCCGTGCGATGGTAGCAGCATATGGATGCCATCACTCTTTTTTATTCTGTGTACCCGAGAGACCCAGAAACAATTGTGCTGGTGATATCAATTCATTTTTATTTCTTCAGCAGTTAGCAAATAGACTGAATATTACAGTTTAATAAAATATCTTAATAAACGAAGGTTGGGAAATTCTGCTGGTGATAAATCACTTACGCATAATTCATTGTATTAGTCGTATGTATTGATGCTCTTCCAACCAAGTGCGATCATCGCGAGCTCAACTGAGCAGGTCATATTACAGAGGCACAAGTCTAGAGTCTAGACGTAACGATTGCCTGTCATAGCTGACACGTGCCCAGCGGAATTTTTTACGACAAGATCAATATAGGCTCTTGGATACAGTTGGAGAGACATGTTAAAAAAAACACATACAGATTTAAAAACCAGCAATATCTTTGTACAAACGTAGAAATAGGACCGGGATTGAACCTTGCCTCCATCTATCTATCTGTAGCAGAGAACTCGGAAAATTTTATAAAAGTATATCAAACTTTAAAACTTTCGTTTTTGAAATGTAATTTTTAATGAGTTTAATTTAGATTTATAACAGTGACACAATTTTCATCAGATTAAGTAAGTAATAATATGTGATCCAATGAAAATATATAGATCAATATGCTAAACATTACTATTATAAACGTTAACTGAAAGCATTTTAGTATTTTTTTTATTTGGGTTCAAACTTCTTAACCATCTCCATAACTTAAAAATCTATTTCATCATTATAATCATCATCATCATTACAGCTTACCAATGTCCACTATTGTATATAGCTGACCCCCATGGATTATCTCACAGGGAAATACATAGGATCCATTTGTTTTTATCAATTGATTACAATCTATTTCCATTATCCTGTAGCGTTTTTATGTATTTAGAAATAGTCCATTTACCTTCAGATTTCAGAATATATAAAGTAGTTATAATAAGCCTCTTGAAGTTGGATATTTTTAGAAAGCTTTTTGAAAGTCTTACTTTAAATATTTTGTGTTGTTGGTTTTATCGTTATTAAAGCTTTAAGGCTTTTAACTAATAATATTAATGTAATTTTGGTAATGTAATGTATTATAAAGTGTTAATTAGAATAATGTGTCGGCAGCAATGGTGTACGGAAAAACTCTAATGAGTTTATGTTTACACTAAAACTATTCATCTTTGTAATCATAAATTTCTTAAATAAATAAATAAATAAATAAAAGTAAAATTTGGGAAGTTAAGAAAATCATTCTTAATTAACAATAATGTATTAATTAATAAGATGTTAAATGACGAATAAAGCAATAGAATGCTAGCTATGGTTTTGATATTTTGGAAATACATTACGGTTATTATTCGTAGTGTAATTGGCTTTGTTTTTTAGGTGCACTAGGTGCAATAGCACGACGACGCAACGCGATGTTCGAGTCCAGAAAAAAACAATTAAAAAAAGGAGTTTCGTATTTTAGTAGCTAAATATATTTGCCCATTTTTTATACTTACTTGGTTTATTTTGATACCATAATAAGTCTCTGCCTGTCTTTTCGCTTGTTTTAATGATTAGTTTCACTGTATAAAATAAAAAATAAAATGTACTTTTAGTTAACGGAACGTTTAAAAGGAATATCATCATTAACGAACGATATATTTAAGTCGCGCTCGCGTTTCATAAACAATTTCACCAAAAGAGGTCAAGTAATAAGGCCTCTTAAATGTAATGATATAACTAGTAAACGGCTTTTAAAACACATAATACAATGCAGCTACAGCTTTACAATGAACTTTATTACTTATCCAACAATATATCACGTGCGACGTGCGCGTGACTTTCAAAAAATCTTTCTTAATTTATAAAAAAATTACCTATAGTTTTTAGACGGACTAAAAATAACGACGTATTGGGGTCACTAAGTCGTGGTTTTCATGTCCACCAGATATTTCAAATTATAAAAACTAGGATATCTATTATACTCACTCTTTCCATTTCCACGAAGTCCAAATCCAATTTCGTGCCTTCGGCGCCTCCCATTTTCTCCGTGACATACTGAAACAATTTAAATATTTATTTAATTATGATTAATTTATTTCATTTCAGTATAATATTTTTACTTATTTTTTAAATTCAAGAAATCAATCGGTCCAATGCCAAAGATCCCTATAATCTAAGTAATAACGCCTTGTAAATGTCAGCCATAATACACAAAAAGAAAATTCTAGTGACTTGTGACCTGGCTACTGCATATACGATATGCGTCGTATGCGACGGATATTGTGTTCGAAGTCCAGTCGAACGTTGTTGCAGAAAACAACACCCCCCCCACCCAAAAAACCCCCCTAAAAAAAAAAAAAAAAAACCCACCCAAAAAAACAAAAAAAACCCCCCCCCCCCCCCCTAATAATAATCAAGTATCTTCACTTTCTTTTTACATTTCTATATTTGTTAGTAAGTTATTAGCTATAAATTAGTGACCGCCAGTACGGTTTCCGTCGCAGTCGCTCGGCTGGTGATCTTCTGGGTTACCTAACTCATAAATGGGCGGAGGCAGTAGAGTCCAAGGGAGAGGCGTTGGCCGTTAGTTTGGACATAGCGAAGGCCTTCGATCGGGTTTGGCACAAAGCGCTTCTTACGAAGCTTCCTTCCTATGGGCTTCCCGAGAAATTGTGCAATTGGATCACCAGTTTTCTTGCTGATCGGAGCATCAAGGTCGTAGTAGACGGTGCATGCTCCGATTACAAGCCCATTAACGCTGGTGTTCCATAAGGCTGCGTGCTATCACCGACGCTGTTTCTTCTGCATATCAATGACATGTTGCAGACCGGTAACATTCATTGCTATGCAGACGACAGCACTGGTGATGCTTTATACACCGGCCGTGCCAATATTTCTCGGGAAAACGTCGCCGAGTACCGGGACAAACTTGTGTCTGAAGTCGAAACTTTGTTGAACAAAGTCTCGGACTGGGGGCGACTAAATCTAGTCCAGTTTAATTCCCAGAAGACACAAGTTTGCTCGTTTACCGCTAAAAAAAGCCCCTTCGTCGTGTCTCCTCAGTTTCAAGGCACTCTCCATGTGTTGCCTCAGCCAGTATTGGAATCCTCGGCGTAGACAAATCGAGTGACGTGCAGTTTCGTGGTCACTTGGAAGAAAAGACCAAATTGGCCTCTAAAAAGCTTGGCGTGCTCAGCAGAGCAGGACAGTATTTCATGCCGGCTACCGCCTGCAGCTTTACAAGGCGCAGGTTCGGCCGCACATGGAATACTGTTCCCATCTCTGGGCTGGTACTCCCCAGTGTCAGCTTCTTCCATTTGATCGATCGAGTTCTTTCCAATCGGCTTGACTCACTGGCACTGCGAAGAGATGTTGCATCTCTTTGCGTATTCTATGGCATCTACCACGGGGAGTGCTCGGAGGAATTGTTCGGGCTAATTCCAGCCGCACAATTTCACCATCGCACATCGCAACAAAACTCACAATATCATCCATACCATCTGGATGACTGGCGGTCCATCACCGTGCGATTTAAAAGAAGTTTTCTTCCTCGCACAACTTCCTAGTGGAGTCGACTACCACCAGAGATTTTTCCGGACCGATACGACTTGGGGGCCTTCAAGAAAAGAGCCTACTCCTTTTTGAAAGGCCGGCAAGGCATCTGCAATTCCCCTGGTGTTGCAGTTGCTCATGGGCGGCGGTATTTACCATCAGGTGAGCTGTATGCTCGTTTGCCCCCTCTACTATAAAAAAAAATTAAGAATGAAATACTTATATTTAATGTTAGTATTGTTTATGAGATATAGACCCCTGTTTGTGTAAAGGCCTAACTGGCTACACATCTCACTTACGTGACTTAAATGCCACGCGCGGCGCGTGAGACATCCTACTATTCTGTTTTTACTATGCCTAGGTAAAACAGTGCAGTTTTAGCAGCTAAAACAGAAAGAGACAACATAGTTTAATGTAAATATGTTCACGAGAAGATCACATCGTGTACGAAATTAGGTACACAGATTTATATATGTTTTATGATTTTAAACTAGGTAATATTTTAAAATAGGTAAGGTAATCATCTTTAATTATGGGGTTATCTTAATGCCATGTTTCTCTGCTAGAAAACCCTGGGCGACTATGAGAAATATAGAAACACGAAGTACGAGAAAAATACATTTTGTGTTTATTTTACAGACACATAGTTACGAAATCCTTTAAGAGTAGTCATTGATTTTCGTATCGTACTTTATGTAATAAAATATTTAGCTTAATACCGTAAAAATCAAACCAGTTCAGTCACTTAAAATTGGAGTAAAGGAAACGAGCATCTCCCCAAGTAATCAATACAACGTATGAACGATTATTATGAATAGATGGATTGATATTGACAGCTACAAAAACTATTTCTATATTTAGATGTATTCAAGTACGCAACGTAAATTGTGGCACAGAACAAATTGTGGTAGATACGTAGTTATATTATTACGATCAATGTCCCGGTGCCTTTGAATTGTTAATCTATGTTATAAGTTATGCAAAAAAAAATTGGTTGACCCTGCAGGCCATCCCTGGAACTTCCCGCTAATTTCAAATGCAAAGCGCTCCAAATTTCACTAAAGTATGTTGCTAAATCTCTGTTATGTTAAAAAAAGCGTTTTTTCAAATTCTTACTCAATCGATATCTCACGCACGCTAGCACGCACGCACGCACGCGCGCACACGCACACGCGCACGCGCACGCACACGCACACGCACACACACACATACATACATCCGTACAGACGTCCACGTGAAATTAGTCAGAATAGCTTCCTGGGATCTCAAAACGTCGAGATCTGATGAAAACTCGATTTCCGAAAATCGAGGTGAAACCAATAACTTCGTTATTTTTAAAAAAAAATTCAATTTTCTTAGCGGGAAGTTAAAAGCTGATTTCGAGACAAATCAATGGAAAGTTACTTTTGAAAAAGTTAAAAAAAACCTATTCTAATATCACAACGTCCGGTAAACTGTTTTCCGCATAACGGTTAAACAATTTCTTTTAAACAACAGCGGTCGTTTACATAAAAACTGCATGCCGCATTTTATACATTTGAAGCTGTGATTTTATACAAAGCAACTGAAGTATGGGATCGCTCGATTGAGTACAAAAGCTTGGGTCGAGGTCTAGCCTTGGCCGAACTGAACGTGTTGCTTTTAAAGAGGGATTTAAAAGAGCGTACGCCAGTGCATAGGTCCCCTACCATTGTCTTCTGTTATAATAAGTAAACAAGTTGTTTGTGCGCAATTAAATAGTAGAGTTAGCGAGAAAGAAGTTTTAAAACGCTGCAATCAGTATATTATTTATTTATGTAACACAAAGAGAAATTATCAATTTCTTCAAATGCGGTTAAAATTAGATTTATACTCAGATCATAATACCTATACAATAAAAAAAATTGAACTATCACGACTGAGTTTACATTCAATCTGCCTTGTTTATAGAGGTGAAGATGATACAAGTACACAGTCAACCTGTTGGTAAGTTGATGTTGTGGTCCTTAAACCTACATCTATCATTGTTTAAAAATCAAAATGCAGATGCCTCGATATGTAAAGAAGCATCTCCGGTTGGCATCACTCACCATATGAAATATTGAAGCACTATACTGTTATTTCACACTGATAATTTGTGAGAGCGTGCTCCGTCTCTGATCGAGCCCTCCAATCCTGTTGCAGCTACAATACCTTTGATTATATACAGGTAAATAATCAAAGTACAATACACTGCAGTTGACAGAATACGTCTTAGATTATACAATGATTTTTGACGTTAAATACCAACATAAATACGCTGAATTCTTGTGAAAATAATCTAAAAAAGAGAATCAAATTAATAGGTATTATTCTTTTTTTGTCATTATTCATGTCTGTAATAATAAACAACCACGGGAATTCATTAAAACAGCATTTCAGTTCATTTAGAATTATGTTTTAATTGTCGGGAATTAAAAAGCCATTTGTGACGCAACAGCGGCTGGCAGAACAATCAATGTCGCAGGACTTATAGGAGGTGTTTGAAGGTCTCAATAATTAGGCCACATCAAATATAGGACGCAACATGGGTCACGGTCGTGGCCCACCCGGCCCTCACCCCTTGTCGTTCATTGCACGGCAGGAGGGGATTTCGCCGAGAACGAGAACATTATTACTTAGAGACTCGGAGTTATTGATCACGTTGTTAGTGCTCGGATATTACGCGTCCGTCAGTAAGAGATCGTGGACACTTGTGAGAGGGAATCAACGGTAATTAGATAAAGGAAATGTCGTTTTAGTATATTTCATAATGAATGCTTTATAAATGTATGTAAATTACTCCGATTAATACTCAAACACAACACTGTGGTTGGGATAAAACATGTAAATTTTTTACATGGAGAAATTATCACGGAAAATTCTCTGCTGCAGCGGTGACTAACAAGTTATGCTTTAAGCCTTACCTTTTCGTTAGTTTTTGGTTACAGGATGTTTTCGTAAACTAATGCAGCCCTGACGGTGGTGGTGGTCCATATCTGGCTTCCTGTCATTGAGAAAGCTTCGTGTCATATGAGTCTTCTTCGCCTTATATTTTGATAGTAGCGCATCACCGTTATTAACCAAGCCCACTACAGTTTTAAAAACATAGGGCGATAGAGTGATGGAATCTCGGCGCAACAACACGGGTAAGCAGTAATCATGATCATAGACTTTAAATATTTAAATAAAGTGATTGACATTCAATTAAGGAAAAAATCTAACATACGTTTAAACATAAACACCCACGCCTGTCACCCAGAACGGTAGGCAGAGACTACAGTCTTCCATTTGGCACGACCCTGACACACCTCTCTCGCCTCCTCCACATCCACATACCTATACCTACGCATATATGCTCGTCGGTTAAGGGTATTCTTAATTTGACCTGTGGCCGTGGTAGGAAGAGGGGAGATCTCCCGCCGGGCAAGGTGTTCTGCCCGGGGAGCGGCCGACACTCCGTGTGATAGTTCGGAGAAGTTCTATATATACTGTTTATGATTCGG